CAGATGGAGGGGCTATTGCTGGTCCTCCGCTTTTTGCCACGTATTCTCTATTACCCGGCACCTTTCACGTGCACCGGCTATGTACAACTGCGAAAGATTCCCTTTCATTCTTATCCAACTCCAATCACGTACATGTATAAAAGCGGCGAGCGTGTGCACGACCGACAGCAGATCAAAACCGCGGCTGAAACTGCCAACTATATCGACAACGAGGAACCGGTAGTTGGCTTCTCTAACAGTCCGCTTCTTCTCTTCCTTCTTCTTCTTCTTCTTCTTCTTCTTCTTCTTCTTCTTCTTCCTCAGCTTCTTCTTCTACTTACATCTCAGAGCTGGTTATTTTACGGTTAAGCAAACGAAACGGTGTTCGAGGGCGCAACACGATGACCAAGTTCGCGGTAAGTTCATTCCTAAGGGTGGATCCTCTCGGTAAGGTTGAATTTTGAGGTATTTTTGTTTGTTGAAAACTTCAGAAGATGATCGATGATCGATGATCGGGATCGATCGAGTTTCTTCTCGTGATTTTATTTAAGGTCGAAGTTATGTAGATTTTACATAAATTTTTTTTTTTTATAAAGGTCACTGTAAGGTTTTTTTTAAAACTGTTTAAATTTCGAATTTTTGTTAATCGGTCCTTTTTAATCTGATTATATTTTTTTTAGCGTCGTAAGAAATACATTCAATTTCTTGTAAAAATTACTGCAAGACTTTTTTTCAGAGTCGTTTAAATTTCGAATTTTTGCTAATCGATTTTCTTTTCAATCTAATTGCATTCTTTTAGTGTCGTAAAAGATACATTCAGTTTCTTATAAAAGTCACTGTAAGATTTTTTTTAGAACTGTTTAAATTTCGAATTTTTGTTAATCGATCCTTTTCGATCTGATTATATTTTTTTTTAGTGTCGTAAGAAATACATTCAATTCCTTGTAAAAATTACTGCAAGACTTTTTTTCAGAGTCGTTTAAATTTCGAATTTTTGCTAATCGATTTTCTTTTCAATCTAATTGCATTCTTTTAGTGTCGTAAAAGATACATTCAGTTTCTTATCAAAATCACTGTGAGACTTTTCCAGACTTTTCCTGCTTGAGTTTCGAATTTTTGCTAATTTGCTTTCGACCCGATTACATCTTTTGTAGTGTTGTGAAAAATATACTCACCTTCGAAAACCGAGAAACAAAAGAAAGTTGAAGATCAACGTTATCTTAGAATTGGTTTCAAAAGACTTCACACATTGACACCGGTTTCTAGTTCGACTGCGTTCAGATTTCTATATGCAAATATGTCGTCGTTTGAAACAGCGTCGCAAAAGGACGCTTGCAAGAACGAATTTCACTGAAATTTCACTCGGTGTCGAAGCTTTGCATGCGTGTGTAACGACATTGTAAAATTCTGATTCGATCTAATCTTTTTCCAGGCCGTCTTTGTGGTTGCCTCGTTGCTCGACTTGGCCTTTGCGGGACACCATGGTGGACAGTAAGTTTCCTTTACCCTGGCATTAAATGGCGTAGATCGTTCGCGTGGTTGCGCGGAAGTACAATCGTTCGTGAATCACTGTAAATTGGACTACGTTTAACGAACCGTGACTCGAGCCACGTGTGTCGACTTTCTCTGTGGTTTTCTTTGTTTATTGAATTCATTCTTCCCGCGTTGGACGATTCAGGAAGCGAACTTTCCGGGCCATTACGCGCATAATTGCCCGCATCGACGCGGCAGTCGAATTAACAATCAACGAGTGAGACTAATTGCATAGCACATACTGTGCATACTGCATATAATATTTAATTAACTTCAGTAATTATTATATTTCAGTTGTGAAAATTTGTTTTAGCACAGTGGATCATTTTAATTAATTGAGAACAATGCACAGAGTGCCTAATCTCTTTCTATTGAATCATTTTCTGAATTCCACCAACGCGAGCAATTACTCTCAAAGGATCTTTTCTAGATCACGAAGATCAAAAAATTTTCTTTAATTATCCAGACAAGGTATTAATCCTTCCGAAACGACTATTAAATCCCCCCCCCCCCAAAGAGATTAACATCGTCTTCGTTATCTTTAAAAAAAAATGAACGTGTAAAAAGACAGATTTAATCGTCGGAAAAAAATCGTTCCACACAGCGACCATGTGGTGATCCACGTGCCCTACAAGATCAAGACGATCCACCATACGCACACCATCACGAAACACATCCACCACGGAGGCGGAGGTGGTGACAAGTACGAAGTTCTCGGCTACACGGTGGGCCATCCCATAGATTTGGGAGGTCACGGTGGTGGTGGTGGTGGTGGTGACTTCGGAGGCGGTGGCGGCCACGATTTCGGCGGCGGCGGCGGCGACTTTGGAGGTGGCCACATCGAATACAGCGGCGGCGGAGGCGGAGGCGGAGGCGGTGGCGGTGGTCACATCGAGTACAGCGGCGGCGACATCGGCGGCGGTCATGGAGGCGGATTCGGTGGAGGAGGCCACGAAGATTGGGGCGGCCACTAACCAGCAGTGACCGGCGCTAATTTCGAGAGGATCACGGTAGTTTCTCTTCGAAAAAGTTCGATTTGTTGCTCGAAAAACGCACGACTTGTTTGACTCGAATTCTACTTCACTAGGTGATCTACTTCGCTAACCTAACCTCGTCAGGGGCGAATTTTTAATTCCATAATACGAATATTTATAACGGAGGAATTCAATTCAGTTTCATTTCATTTTTGGCAAACAAGGAAAACAAACACGTAAAAGAAAATTAAGTTTAACGTTTCAGAATTTCAAAGAAGTAACTGCTTTTTGTAACCGGTTTCCCGAGCTTTTTGCCAAGGACGTTTCGGTGCATAAAATTATCGAATGCGCAAAGTGGAGCCAGTACTTTATTTCGTTTCCAAGGGGAAAGAAAGTCAATTTCAAAAAATTGCTACATTCTAAATTGAAACGTAGAACGGGTTGATTAAAAACAGGAATTCCTGTTGGAAAGTCGAGTCACCGTGCTTTAAAGAGTCAACAAGCACCCCGCATCGCACGACACTTTCACCTACACGTTTAAGAGACACGTATCCGCTTTAGAGAGATACTGGATGTTTCTTCTGAAAGATTTTACGTCTTTTACTACTGTTATCTTTTTTTTTTTGTTTTGTTTCTTGACTGGTGTTCTTCGGAGAGTGCTGATCGACACTTCATCGACCTGCCTCTTACCTCTCGTCCTAGTCTCTCAATCTGTTGTCACATCGTTCGTTACTGTTAATGTAAATACTTGTTACCCCGTTTTAATTGTTTTAAATATCGTTTCGTCTATTGTCTACCGCAGCTTGGATGATCTATGTATAATTATGTACGTCGCGAGAAAGTTGATTAAACTGCGTGTGTACCTGAAATCTCACTATCCTTTTACTTCCCGTGTCATTTATTTGTTTTACAATTTTACAACAACCTGAACTTCTACAAACGATCTACGAAGGGAATCACATACACATGCGTGAAACTTTCAGCGAGCAATTGAAGTCACACGCGGACAATGTCACAAACGTTGCCGAAAAATCCTATGCTTTACTATTTATTTCTGTTCCTCCTGTGATTAATGATCCTCGGTGCTTTGTCGATCCTCTTTCTAGATCTTCGACGATGATCACGTTTGTCCCTGGTATTCTCATACTCCACGTCGTCCACTAAATATCTCCCACTGTCCGTTTTCATTCCCAACTCCTCTTTAAATCCCTCGTTCTCGGCGTCGCCCTGCTCCTCCTCTTGATCCTCGTGGAACTTGTGCATCCGGTCCGAACGAACGTGCCCGGTTTCCGTTTCTAGACCCTTCCTGTACCCCTCTTCGTAATCGTAAGCAACAGTCTCGGTATTCGGAAGTATATCGTTGACGTCTTCGTGAACTGCGTAAGTATCTTTATCACGATCCTTCAGCTCCAAGTCGTTATCGTCGATGTAAGATGGCGGACGACGAGAGTCCTTGTAATAGTCATACACAGGGAAATACTTTTGTTTGTGATTCGCCGGCCGATTTTTCCTCAGTTTCTGTTCGTGATCCTCGTGGTGGTTTTCCTGGTCGAGGTCAGGATCTTCGTTCTCGTGTTCGTGCTCGTAATCACGATGGCGTCCGTACTTCCACGAACTCCAGTTCGCGTGGTGATAGTCGTGAGTCTTGTAAACTTTCGGCTTCTTCGGCGCCGGCACGCGCAAGTGAAGGAGAACGGTCCTCGTGTGCACGTGATGGTTGGTCACATCCGGCACGAAGATCTTCAGATGCACGCTGCAAACGAGCGAAAGGGAATGAGCGTGATTATTGTGCGAACGAGAGTAGACGTTTTCGTCGAAGAAAGCGGGGAACGACTGTTGACGATACGATTCTTTGATCGCGATCGTTCTTGCAGATCTTCCGATTTGACGCTTTGATCCGATTTACTTACTGTTTAGAGAACACTCCGTGGATCGTGAGTAGAAGAAGGCACAGATAGTTGAGGATCTCCTGGAAAGTAACGGCAATTAATATCATTAAAACGACAGAATCGACAATTGTTGCGTGAGTTGTGCAAATTTAGGATATTTGAAATTTGAAATTATTTAGAATGTTAAAAAAGAATGAAAAATAGAACGTATATAATACATATGAATAAAATAAAAATAAAATAGAATAAATAATAAAAATAAAATAGAATAAAATAAAATAAAAATAGAATAAATAGAATTGGAATTGTTGAATGAGTTGTGGA